TCACCTCTAAAAGCATCCAAGAATATTAAAGATCCTATCTGACTGGCAGCTTTTCATCAAGGGACTGGTGTAGACAAAGAGTTGGAGCCTAATCCCCATTGTGGGTTATAGGATATTGCCATTTTCACATTCCATGTCTGTCTTGCGGAACTGATTCAGAGAGTAATTACTGCTCAGATAAGCCTCTTCTGGAATACATGCAATTAATTCTCCTGCAAAAAAGGGGGAAGATGCCTGACACTTTAATAATGTTTAAGTACACCTAATCTATTTCTTTTCTACTCCTAATTTTTCCTAAATATGGTGAAGAGGATTTGGAACTACTTACAAATGCTGGTTCTCATGTAAATTATCCATGGGTCTGTAATATCCTCTCATAAAAACAGCCAACATGAAATAATACTAAAAACTGACAGACTGTAAAGCAAATGGGTAATTAGTGTAAAGATTAATCTAGATTTCTTTTTCCAGAAATAAGGACTATTATCCTTTTCAAATGGGAACTATCTAATACCTTTAAAATTCCAAGGACAGCTGTTTTTAAAATGTTGAAAGTAGCCTGGACTAATGAAAATTTCTCTTTTTCACAACAATTCAAAGAATTATTTTCACCATGTGTTCATGACGTTTTTATCCACATTATTTATTGATCTCATTCTTTGACTGCCAAAAGAAGTTGTGATGTTAAGACTGTAAAATTCAAGGGATCTGCATTGGCATATCTACATTTTGAGGTGATTTATACACTTAACCTAAGTGTCTTTCATAAATAGTTCATCAGCAGGATTCAAATGCATCTAAGGTTTTCTGTTATACTTCAAAGCTGAATAACAAGTACTCATCTTCACCATACTTCAAAAATTGAGCAATTGGCTAATTGCCCACCATTACTGAAACCAACCTACAGGAAACAACTAAGCTTGCCATCGCCCTTGCCCTCCAGGAATACACTGTATTTAGGATACAGCAAATAAATCAACAATTATAAAAATCTCCTCACCAAAAACAGCCACCCACCAACCCCTTCCTCCCAAACCACATCACAAGTCCCATGCCCTCTCAAATAATTTAACTTAAGTTTTGGGCAGGGAGATAGAGCTTATTTATGATTTGAAAAGATGAGGAAAAAAGTTTAAAAAATAAAAATAGGGTAGCTGTGTTTTGTTGAGCTGACTCCAGAGGATCTAGTCCTAAAGCAGCAACTTCTACTTGAGGTAAAGCCCATTTAGGTTACCTCGCTATTCCATAAATGCACCAAGTCCAACATTTGATAAAGAGCCACCTCCACAGCAGAAAAATATCCCCAACAGCTGGCTGTAAGGGGGATTAATTTCCTGACCTAACTTTGCCTCCAGTTCCACTCAGAATCCATCCCAACTGCCTCACTCCATTTTTCATTTTGGTGGTACAACATACGACTTAAGTCACACAGGGAATCAAGGTTGAAAGGATAATGTTGTTAAGACTCATTTTTCAGCATGAATGTTGCTGTACCAATGACAGCAATGGAATAAATGTTACTGTAAATAGCAGTCAGTTATTTTTGCCAATACAGCATGAAAATATTTTCTGCTTAAGTCATTCTAAGTGCTCACACTGCAGCGGAAAAAGATCGATTTGGGAAAATATATGTAAAGATGCAGTTGCAAGCTGACTCGGGTATGAGACAGCTGAGGTTTCAAACATCTTCATGCCCAATGAAAACTAAATTATTCATTTATTTTGGTTATTTTAGGGGAAAAAAAAGAAGAAAAGAGAAAAGAAGAGCACATTCCTTGTAGAATGGATATGCTTAATTTGATTTCTTGGATAATATTTTCACAAATGAGTACAGTTTTGAGACAAATGATAGTCTGAAGCCAAATTTTCAATTTTTCCTGAGGTTTACCATTTCCAGGTACCTTTAGAACAGGTTTGGGTGCCTGACATTTCCAAAGCAGGGATTTTTCAGGAGATAGTGGAAGCGTGGAAGAATTAATTCCACTTCCTTACCAACATGTATTTATTTCTCCAAAGACAGACACACTTCTGATGACAAAGGGAGACAACATAAATTAATCACTAAAAAAGAGAACAAACAAAAAATCTGAGACTATTCTATTCTTCTTTGTTTACTAGGAGGTAGATGATGGCTCCTTCCATTTTATCCTTTCTACCTGAGTATTGTAGCTGAGCATCTAAACCCCTATATTAATTTCTGTAGTATTTAGCCTTTTCTCCCTTAAAAAGCTACATAACAATTACATGTTCTGAAGCTCCCACAGCTCAACTCAAGGTTTCCTTCATAATGCACTCTAATGAGGTAGAAATGCTTTTTTAAAAAGTATTTAAAAATCAGGAAAAAAAAACAGCAGAGGGGAAAACTACTAGAAAAGTCTAGAAAATCTAGAGGAAAACAAGAAGCAAAAGCTCCCAGAGAACCAAGATTTACTGAAGCTCACTTTCCGTTAGCTGAAGAGTTTAGCTGTAAAACCAGCTAAGCAAGGGTTTTACATCTACATGCAAACATTCAACTTGAATGCTGCAAAGTACAGATTTTCATGTACTTCTCAAGAAGCACAAAACTGACTCCTACTCAAATCAATTTTTATGTGCTATTTTTGAATTAGCATCCTGATGCCACGATTTCAAGACAGGCAAGTTGCATTTACAAATTTTGTATTTCCATATTCAGAGTGACAAAGGGAACATAGGCTGCCCCAGGACACGAGAACAAAAGTTCTCATTTTCTATTAAGTGAAAATAGTCTATGCCTGTAATAAACTGCAGCTATATGAAATCATGCACAGTTTCATTAGCCAAAAATGACTGCTCTTAGGTTGTGTAAACAATCACTTCCAAAATATTTAGTCTTAATAAATAAGTCTTACAAACATAAGTAAACATAGCAATCGCAGTATACTAAAGCATGTTTCACATCAATTTTAGGTGAATTTTATGCAAGCAAGGAAAACATTATCAGAATTTCCTGGAAATCATTACAAATTTAATTTAATTTTAACAGCTCTGAGAGACAGCTTACTTTCCTTCAAGAGTCCACTGTAAAAAGTTTCTAAGAGCATCTCACACAATCAGGAGCCAACTTCATGAAGTGCCTCGGTGGCAGAACCCAGGGCACCTCCAGAAAAGGGGCACTGGATGTGCAGTATTGATGCAGTAGAGATTAAAAAAATATATCTATGACTGTACTTAGACAGCTCAAAAAAACCCAACAAAAACCAAACCCCCCAAAAAAACCCACACTACAAAAAACCAACACACACTTTTTTTCCTATGTTGTGGGTACCCACTCATTTTTTTCTAGGTTTCATAAACTAAAATAGTTTCTGTCGTGTTCACTTCCCGACCAGGCTTTATTCAGTTCAATTAGGAGTAAACCAGTTCTACTGAGTCCTTTCAAAGCTTCATTTCAAATGACTAAACATGGTCTCAATAATCCCACCTGCACTCCTTTACAAGATTTAAGAGTGTCAAAACTGAAGTCAATCATGGATGCAAAATTTGTATCATGGATTATATCCATGATACTTTCAATCAAACAGAAATCATTATTTCACAGCCCTGGGGAGTTATACTTTTTGTCTATTATAATAGACAGTTCCCTGTGGGTTATTTTTTCTTCAAATGTCGTATGTACAGATGAACTTTGGCAACAGTTAACAGCAAATGAGCTACAGCTCCCTGTATCAATGTGGGTAATTTTACACTGACAAAATTGTCCACCAGTTAAATAGCATATGTTCTGAACTAGACAGATATAAAATTAATGCTCCAGGACTGTGGAGAAGCTTGATGCACCCCGTGTCCCATTTTGTCATTTAATTTTAGATAATAATTACACAATACATCATTTCTTAATGTAGCCAAATACAAAGCAAAGAATATTGATGATGTGTATTTATTTTGCAGATGCTAATACAGCAAAGAAATCTTTCACTCTTGGGCAGGATTACATTTTTCCCACAGAACCTGAAATTCAGTTATTTGGCTTAAAAGTGTACTCCTGCTTTTAGTGAGTATCAAAAAACGCAGTAGCAGCTAGACCTGAATTAATTCTGTTTGAGTTCTGAGCTGGCAGGAGAGGCACAAGACAGAAAGGCACAGAAAACCTTGAGGTAGATCAGCTAATTAAGGTCTAATTAGGGAAACAATCCCTTGTCCCAAAGGGTGCTTAGACAAAATCTTAGGTGCCCACACAGCTGCAGCTTTCATGGAAGGAATGTATGTGCTGAATGTCCTCCTGAATGTGGTGACCCTATAGGATTTCAATGCAGTGTTTAAGTTCTCTGCTGTGAGAGAGGAGGTGGAAACTCCCTCTCTATTTAAAAATACTGAAGACAGTGTGCTTTAATCACATTCCATCAGAAAAAGAATCTTAAAAGTCTGTTATAACAAACAGCCTTAACAATACAATAAAACGCATTTTCATGTGCTTAGTTTTTTTTAATCACTGTATCACTTATTTAACTTCAGTCACTGGAAAGTATTTTGCCAATCCTTAAAGCAGCAGTAGCCAAGCATTAGTAGCTCATATGCTAAGGAAAGGTCCAGCAAGTGTAAGAAAATTTCTTATTTTATGTAAAGACATCTATTATGGAGAAAAAAAAATGTATTTCCTTTTCTACTAAAGAATCTCAAAGATGCGAGAAGCAGCTCATGGAAAAAGTAGTGACAGTTTATCAGGCATGTGCATGGCCCTTCAAGATTGCTGGCACATGTGCTTATCTGCTTCTGATCAGACAACTGTCAACACAATCTCTTCAAAGAAGCCTTTACAAGCAGTGAACCTAGACAGTAGCCACTTCAGAGGCTGACAAGTCCCTAGAAAAGTACAGTCAGTGTTATCAGTGTTTAGCTGAATGATTAACATAGCCTTAGGCTAGTAATTCTATAGCAGGTGTGAAACTGTGTATCTTTAATTTCTGGTCTTGGAGTGACATTATCAGGTAAATGAACCCAAAACCACCTACAAAACTCCCCCCATTGCCTCTCCTGCTTACCAGCTCCTCACGAAGCTGGGCTATGAGTTCGTCTCTCTCCTTCAGCTGCAGCTTCAGCAGTGAGCATTCATCTTTTATTCCATCCTAGAAAAACATCAAAAGAGATGTTATAATAGGCTTAACGCTTCTACTTTGCTCATGACAAGAAAAGGCTGTTTCACATAGTGTGAGATAATTACATTCAAATAATGAAACTCAATTTTCCTTTGTCATGTGTGGTATTTTCAATAACATTTTCTAAGTTGCAGCATAAACAAATTAATGTATCCAAAGACATTGCATAGAAATTTGAATAGCTCCCTGCACAGAAGTCCATTTCATTGTTTTCTGAATCTTTTAACTCTTTTTATTGAAGATCCTATCAGGTCATTCCTCCTCATTTGAGAAACAGCTATGAAATGTTGTAATTTTAATCATACAAAACAACATTAGAGAAATATCAATTTAGAGCATTATTGCAGAGATCTTGATTTTGGAGAGATGAAAAAGAGCACAACAGACATCCAGAGGCAAAGGAAAGCGCCCTCTCCATCTTTTGTCCCACATCAGGTAAAGCAGCAGCAGTTCTGGTATTAACTAGGGGAGGAAAGAATACAGTTACCATTTAGTGAAATAATCACTGTAACTCAATTTGACCTGCAGGAAAGTGACCCTAATAGCTAAAACTTTAGCCAAACCCATGTCCAGGAGATAGGCTGCAAGTTGTCCCCAGGAAATCTCATGAGTTCATGCAAGTCTCAGCATCGTATTTGAAGAAGATATAATAAACTCAATTCACAAACAGAACTGTTATAAACTAAAAACCTAGCAAACTAACCAGCCATCTAGCTGGTTATACAGCTGTAACTGAAGAACTCTATTTTCACATCCTTCTAGCATGGTAACATTTAGTTTGGGAACTTTATTAATTTAGAGTATTATTACTGAAATTAAAAAAAACAACATAAACCCACAAGACATATATGACAAGAAAACTTTTGGAAATCTGGTGGTATATTCAAAACACTTACTGTGAAAATAAAAAAATTTGACCTCTAGTTATCAGCTAACAACAGTGTAAGAGTGTAGAAATTATTTTGATTGTATAGAGTTAAGAGGTGTAAAGGGTATAGCCAGTGTGATAAACTTGCACTCTGCCAGTACTAATGTGTTTGTAAATCCAAATAAGCACAGAAATACAGGACAAAAAAAGTAGAGTGTGATCCCATTTTCATCACATAAAAAGTTAAAATTATTATCTTTCAAAGTAATTATGTTGCTCATCATCTCCTCTAACAGAACTGGAAGAAGAAACAAGACACATACACATCAATATTGCAAATATTTAAAACAACTGCAATAGAAAGAGTTACACCATTTCTGGCCACTTACACACTACTTCAGTGCTACTATAGATCTTCTGAAAGATACAAATTTATAAAAAAGCCAGAACTCACATTATTTCTGTTAGGGAAAAACTCATGGAAGTTTTCTTCATTACATGCAATAGCAGCATTTTACCATCTACTAGGAGATTGATGTTTAGGCACATTAGCTGAAAATAAAATTTTAGTGCGTGCCAGAATACAGCCTGCAGCACTGAATATGATATTAGTACATGTTTAACATTACTGTTAGCCAAAATATCTGCTTCTAAAAAAATATGGTTTTGAGTATCAGCAACTATTATTTTATCAAAATGAGGTCTTTATCTAACAAAATGGTTTTAAAAACAGTGTGGCATTAGCTATGGTACCTCAAATTTTTGTTACATTGTTCTGAGTTCTTTTTGCCAGCACAGCTTTACACTGTTGCTACCTTTTGAATTTCTACTTTTTAACAGCATAAAATAGTTCAATACACAGTGGAGAAAGAAAAGCATCAAGGTCCCATAGCCAAGACTATTTCAAAAACATCTTCTGGAAAGCATACCCAAGCAAATGCAGCAATGAGGCCTTGTAACAGCATGCCTCAACCACAGCAGGAAAGATTTTTGAGATGAGCTTTGTTACTAGGTTTTGTCTAAAAGGCGAAGTAGAACTCCCTTGGACTAGTGAGAGCTTGAAGAAAGATTCTGCCCCATGGAGCTTCCAAAGACTTAAAACCTCTCCTAGCAAAAAGCAGCCGAGCAGCCAGCTGGATCTTCCTCACGTGTGCAAGGCACAGTTCTCCAGGTACTTAACTTCCATATTCCGTGCAACAATTGTCACATAAAATTCAGACCATAACTATCTTCAGAGCTTGGAGAAAAGCATGTAGGGCTAAGGTTTTTCCCTTGCATTGCCTCATTTCAGCAAAATTCTGATGCACACTTCCAGTGGGACGTGGTGCTTGGAAATCAGTGCCCAGCATTATCAACTCCTTGTTATCAATGTGCAGGCTACCACGGCCTTGTAAAAGAGCACTCCGCAATTTCTGGGGTACTTGAGACTCTTAGGTTTGGACTCCACGATGATTTTGGCTGAGGTAGAGTTAACTTTCGTCACAGCAGCTTGTATGGCGCTGTGGATTTGATTTGGTCTGGAAGCAGTGTTGATAACACAGAGATTATTTTGCTTTTTCCAAGCAGCAATTACACAGCGTCAAAGCCTTTTCTGCTGCCCGTGCTGCTGCTGCAGTGAGGAGAGAGGGGTGGCACAAAGGAGCTGGGAGGGGACACAGCCAAGACAGCCAACTGATCCAAGGAACATTCCATAAAAAATGGCATCATGATGGGTACATAAAGCAAGGGAAAGAAAGAGGAAGGAGTGATGGTGGTCATCTCCCCAAGTCACCGCTACACACAATAGAGCCCTGCTTTCTTGGAGCAGCAGATAGCTGTTTGTTGTTGAATGCAGAGCAGAATTAGGATTTTATAATCTCATTTTGCTGCACAGTATCTGCAAAAGCATCAATCTTTCTTCAAATGCAAAAGCGTGAATAAAAGAAAGAAAAACACATTGTCAAGCAGTTGACTGCAAAAAGGTTTGGGCAGTTTCAATATCCCGTACACCTGTCTGAATGTAGCACTAACAGAATAAAAAATGCTGTGGAAAAAACTGCTGCCAAAACACTGAATATAGACCCTCCAGAAAATAACTACTGAAAGCTATGGCAGGAGAAGAGGCTCGGAAAATCCTTTTGTCATGCATGAACCAAAATATTTCAGTGAAGGACTGTGTGAATGATATCGAAGAAATCACGTTATTGAAAGGTGTGGAAGGCAGCAGAAACTGGTGGAATGCTGCGCTATTCATTAGTCTGTGGGCAAACAGCAATGTATATCTGATAGTGTGAATTCAGGAATGGATCATTTCTACTCCTTAGGAGGTCTGAAATGCTTCATTATCTGCTGAGAAACTACAATACAGGGCAAAGCTGCTGTGGAAAGACCAAATATTTTTTTGAGAAAAGCTTCTCAAGGTGAATGAGAAATAGCAGACACAGTCTGATGGGGATTTTTACTAAAAAAAAACAACAACAAAATAAAGTCCAAACCCAAACCTCCCAAAAACCCAGTAATGCCACCTAATGAATTGTAACAGCAACAGATCTTGAAGAGGAAATAACTTGAAAAGGATGGCCTGCTTTTAGGAAAGCATGCACTCAGTGTATGCTAAATCTACACTGCAATTACTAAGCTGAAAAAAAACATTTCCCTCATAAAGCAGGGCTTTCTAAATACGATTTGAATACTCTGGGGCTGTGAGAGCTGGCCTCTTAGCTACCTCCACATTCTAATAGATATCTGACCCATGTATTCCTTTGTTTAGAAAAATAAGCCAAATTATAATGCAGGCATGACCACATTTGCAAAATATGTCTCCTCCTTACAATATTTATAGAGTGTAAAAGAGCAGACTGTCATATAAGTGGAGTTCAGAAGCCAACTAAAAGCAATTAAATGCCCACAGATATGAAAGTCTGCCAGGTGACATTTACTTTTGTATTTACTGAACCAATATCCTCTGCCACTTTGATTCCTTATGTTTCTGCAAAATGAGTTTATGCCAGTATTTTATCAAGGCTACCAGTCCAATAAGAACATGAATGCTATGGAATTATCAGTCCAAATAATTCAATTTACACTCTAGGCATGTTTTCATAAGCTACTTGTATACCCTTTAGCTTTCAGGCCATTTTGCAGAGCTTAATAAGTTATATATACTACATATTACATTGTCATTATTATTCTCATTGTTTTTTATGAATGCTGTTCATTATTTTATTAAGAAAAAAAGGATAAAAATTCTGCTTTCAATTGTAATAATCATGTCCATGACTCTGGAAATGCTTGATAAAAAGTCAATTAACACCTCATTGTTAAAGAGAACTGTCAGACAGTATAATCTGTAAATAGCACATCTTCAAACTATTTTTATTTTATTAAATATAGATAATCAAAACAAGTCTTGCAGACTAAATTCCCAGTGTATTTCATAAAAATGCAGAAGTAGCTGTGTGCAAAAAGCTATCTATCATTTTCCTCACTTGCATCCCCTGATACTTAAAAAATCCACTATTTAGGTGCAAGTTCATGATAGATCTGCTGTTATTATTGCATACATTTGTGGTCAGAATATTCTTCAGATTATCACCCCTTTAGTTATTTTCAGCTGCCAGCTATGACAGTGATTGCTACCTCTCAGCGCCATTAGTTTAATTCTGCTCATTTGGGAAAATAATAGCAAATCTGTTTCTCCTCAGATCAGGTCACAAGATGAAAAATTGTGCTATGTGTGAAGACAGCTGCAGCAGGTTATGCATAAGTGCCAAAAAGAATAATCATTTTAATTTGAAAACTTACGTTATATTTCTTCATGCTTTGGAACAAAGAGGCATGACGTGCTTACTGTAATCAAAGTGCTATAAACTGAACTAACCAAGTACTCTGGAAGATAAATTTAGTGCTTTTCCTCTGATACTAAACAGAATATATTTCCAAAGAAATACCATAAAATTAGAATATAATAAAACTCATTTGATAAATGTGCTGGATTTCAGATGCTAAATAGATTGTTTACCAACTTGGTACTGCAAAAAACAACAAACACTTAGAATATAGTGTCTTAAGAAATAACCCTGGAATAAATAAAACTAAGAAATTTAAAACTGAACATCAGGTC